TTGGGTTTTGTTTTTTTCTTTCTTGTGGATTAAATTTATTATTATTATTATTATTAATTTTAATGAAAATTTACAGACTTTGGATTTCCATTTATTCATTGTTGCACCTTTCTCCCTGTCAATCCCCTCCGCAGAACACTCTTCTCTTTGAAAACTAAAAGAAAAATTCTTTCATTGTTTTACAATCCCTCCTCCCAGTTCCACTCCACTATGCAGCCTTTATTCTGGACTCCTGTCATGACAATAATACCTAATAAAATATCCCTTTTAAACAGTTTTCTCCCTCATCTGTTTCAATGCAGTACACATTATTTATCCCATCTTTCTCAGTCTCCCCCCAACCCTGATGTCAGTCCTGTTTTACAACAGTGGCACTATGCAGTATTTGTCCTTTTGTGACTAAGATATTTCACTCAGCATAATGTCCTCCATAGTCACCTATTTTGTATAATATTGCATGAGTTCCTTGTTTTTCAATGCAGCGTAGTATTCCACTGTGTGAGTATTCCACAACTACTCTATCCATTCGTTTGTTGATGGGCACTTGGGTTGTTTCCAAATCCTTGCTATTGGAACAAAGCTGCGATAAACATGGGCATGCATATATCTGCTTGGGTGACAGTTATGGTCTCTTTGGGGTATATTCCCAGTAGTGGAATTGCTGGGTCAAATGGTATCTCTATTTGCAACTTTTTGAGAAAGCGCCACACTGCCTTCCACAGTGGTTGCACCATTTTACACTTCTACCAACAGTGAGTAAGTGTTCCAGTTTTTCTACAACCCTGCCAGTATTTGTTGCTTGCTGTTCTGTTAAATTTTGCCACTCTCACTGGGGTGAGATGATATTTCACAGTTGTTTTTCATCTCCTGTTTGAAATCTCTCTCAGCCTATACCTTCTTACTCAGTTCTTCAGTTTTGACTAATTTATTCAAAGGTGGAGTACCACAGTAATTTAACTTAGTGATTCTCTATCTTGGAGTACACTCTGACATTTAAAAATACCTGTCTCAGGGGAGCTCTGGTGACCTAGTGGCAAGGAGCTGCAACTACAGTCCCAGAGGCGCACGGTTCGAATCCACCAGATGCTCTGCCAGGGAAGGAGGGGCAATCTCCTCCTGTACCAGTCAGATCTGATTTGATGGTACACTCACACAAAAATAATAAAACAAATAAAAAAAACACCTATCTTCAGCCTAAAGTTTCTGATTTAAATGGTCAGATAAAGCCCTACCATTAAATTTTTCAAGAAATTCCTAGGTACTTCTAAAGTGCAGTCAACACTGAGGATCACCAAGTGAACGGATTCCCAAAAATTCAGGCTTACCTTTCCCCCAAAGCATCACTCAACTAAGTCAATTTTTCAAAAGTGCCAACTGATAATCACCCTAAGAAGCCTTAGTACTCAGCTGCTAATCAAAAGGGTTGACAGTTCAAGCCTACCCAACAAATCAATAGGGAAAAACAAGCCTGGCAATCTGCTCACGTAAGATTATAGCTGAGAAAATGCAGTAAAGTAAGTGCACTTTGTCCCCTGGGTCATAATCACTCAAAAATTAACTCAATAGCACCAAACAACTGATTCTATCCTAGAGCACTGATTCTCAATCTTGGCTAACAGAACTGCTTACAGAGCCTTAAAAAATGCAGATGCCAGGTCAAATTTCTGACCATTTAAAACAGAGTCTCTGGGGATTACAACATTAGTGTGCTTTAGTTCCCCAAGTGCCTGTCGATGCACACAAGGTTGAGAACCGCCTTCCCAGAGAAAGATATGAGATGGTTTGTATTATGTCAGTGTAGCCATGATCCTCAGGATAAGGTAACTTTTGTCATGGACTAAACTGTGTCCCTAGAAAGCGCATGTATGAAATGATACGTAGAAGCTATGTAATAATCTGATGTGACAACCAAATGGTTGTCAGAAGGACCCAACACTCCCTTTCCGTACCTTTGCCCTCATCTGATGAAAGGGGAAGAAAAAGAGGGGCAATATCTGCTTAGTATCACCAAGAAATAAGCCTCAGGAGTGGAGTGAATCTTTTTGGACCCAGATGCTTACGATATTAAAAGCCTGTTGATATGAGAAAGGTCAGGACAGGTGGAGCTGCCCAGGGAATGCTGGGCCTATAGATACAGAAATAACACCAGGACTTCCTCCCAGCACTAACTAGGAACACGCCTTCGAGTAAACTCAGCGTCCTGAATTTTAGTCTTTTAACCTAAAATAGAGCATGGGTGACTTCATGGTAAGGAGCTGTGCTGCCAACCCAACTGTACATGGCTTGAATCCACCAACTACTCCACAAGAGAAAAGATGAGCAATCTCCTCTCACGCAAGTTACTGCCTTTGAAAACCCACCGGCGGGTCAGTTCTAACTCAACTGTACGTAACAACAACCTCCTGAAAAGCCATTTTATTGGAGGAGTCAGTAGGGAGATTCACTGATAACTCAAAGAAGTGCCTGTCTGGTGTTTCAAGTCCACCAGCAGCTCCAAGGGAGAATCGGACAATCATCTCTGTGTCATTTTACAGACTCTGAAAACCAGCTGGAGTAGGTTCTGAGTCGGTTCCAACTGACAGCAGTGAATGAGAGCCTCCTACACTGTAAGAGAATAAATCTGTTCAAGTCACCCACTATTATATCACCATTAGCTAACTAAGACATTATCCTTAATGAGGCAAGATTAAAGGTGTTCCTCAAAGATATGATCAGCTTTATCTGATGAAGAAGTCTCCTTAGGAATGGGTATGTCAAAGCTACAGCTAGCTATCTGGCTCATGTACTTCACTGAACCAGTGTCCTACTATACTTGATAAATTTGGACCTGTCAATCTCCAAAGCCTGCACCCTGTCAACAACCTTTTGACTCATCAGACTCTATATCCAGCAGTCTCTGGAGCCTGCTGTCTATGACTCTACTTCCTGATACTAACGTATGGATTCATTTGCCTTTGAAGCTGACAGACTCTGAAGTCAGATGCCTGAGACCCACCCCGTCTACCAACAATTTGGATCCATTAGCCTCCCCAGAGACCTTTCTCCTGAGGACGGTCTAGCAAACATGAAACTTGACAGCCTTTACAAGCATTTGAGGCATTTCCTTGAAATAAATATGTGGGTGGTGGTATATGTACTCAAACTCAATGCCAGCACATCAGAGACAAGTCATAGATGATTCTCTGGCAGATCTTCAGAGGCTGTAAATCACACAGGAGGAAACTGCCCAACTTGCTGCTAGTGGATTTGAACCTTTAGGTTAGCAGCACAACTCCCTAAGGACTAGGCCACCAGGGCTCTTAAATATATCTTCACGCATGATTCACTGGTTTGGCTTCTCTAGCAAATCAGCCTAAGACAAAGGCCACACAGAGTTTCAAAACCACAAAATCTAAACTCCCTTGAAGGTAATAAGGCCTTCCATTTAATCTCCGCACACTCCATATTCATACTACCAAATAATGTAGCATCATGAAAGGGAAACACTTTTACATGTCTATGCAAAACAGCTCAATCTTGGCAACTTCCTCTACTTATCCCATCCATCAGGTTTAAATCTTTCAAGAATTGCCTCCTTTGTCTAACTCTTCCCTCATCAATCCACCTGTGTCCCTTTCGATTGTCCAGGGCAATTTGTGACACTGATGTCTAACATCCCTAATATAAACCTAATGTTATTTATGTTTTTATCTCCAGGGTGTATTAATACTTAGGACACACTTAGGAAGTATTATAATATTTATTAATTTCATTCCATTTAGGAAAATAATTATCTATGTTATAACACAGGTAGAATTCCATCTAAAAAACTGTAGGGAATTTCCCCATTATACTCAAGTCTTATCAAAATAGAAAGCAACAGCTGGTCTTTTAAAAAATGTTAGGTAAATGTTTAATGTTTGTTCTATTTATAAGCAGTAACAAATTAAGGAAAGAGGAGGGGTGCAGAGAGCAGTATGTTTCCAGAATCACAACAGTAGCTTCTTAGAAAATAACATGTAGCTTTCCACCTGGATATAATACCTTTAAAACTATACCCTTTTCAAAACATTATTCTGGTATGATGATATCTGTACATTTTAGGAAAGTGAGCTAAGAGCACTTACTCAGGACAAGAAAAAAAAATTACTGGTACTTTAAAATGAAAATAAATGATGACAAGCTTCCATATACTTAAATTGTATTTAAGTGTTAAAATGCTGATAATCTGTTGTTGTTAGGTGCCACTGAGCTGAGTACAACGTACAGTGACCTTACAACAGCTGTGAACCCTGCCCTATCCTGTGCCATGATCACAGTCTCTGATATATGTGAGCTGGTTGCTGCAGTCACTGCTGTGAATCCATGTGATTGGCAGTAGTCCTCTCTTTCACAGATCCTGCACCTTTCCAAGCATGATGCTCCTTTTCATGGAACTGCCTTTCCTAGGAGGTGTATGTGAGGTGAAGCTTTACCATCTTTGACTCCAAGGAGCACTCTGGATGCACCTTCTTCAAAACACATCTGTTCATTCTTTTAGAAGAAGTGATGTTAATTTCAAGTCCTTCGGGTAGTCTATTACCTAGCAAAGGTTCAGAACTCCAAAACGTTCAGTGTAGGTTGAGAGAGAACAATTTTATTTTAAAAAGTTACAGTTGATATTTTTTTACTTATGTGGTCACTATATGTGTCTTTCACAACAAAGATTTTGCTAAAATACTAATAATAAATTGCTAAAATAATAACGGAATACTTACATCATGGACCTCAAAACATTTCTGTTGTACCCACATTCACACTGCTCATGGAAGATATGTTAATATACAAAATTACCCTATGACTAAGTATTTAAATGGTTTTTATCTGTCATATAATCCCTAACTATGCAATTCATCCAGTATTCACTGAGTGCCATTACCTGCTTAGGAATATATTCACACTAAACTACGTAAAGTGATCAGAAAGAAAATAAAAGCATCAAGTACTATATTTGGCTGGTTAGTTTTTCTTTTTCTTCTTACCTTATTTGGCGATTTCAAAGGTGAGATGGCTATTTTATTTGGTGTCTGTGTTGTAGAATTTAAAGTTGATCCAATAACACCACTTTCGGATATTGTTATGGTCTTTGATGGAGTCCCAGGAGTAGACTGTGAAAGAACCCTACCTGCAAATGAGAGATAGCACATCAGTTTAACATTTTCATTGAGAGTATAAAAATTTATGTATTGCTGACATATATATGTTCACTACTTCATATGTATCAATCACTACATGAACTTAATACTCAGATGCTAGTAAACTGTGAGAAACCTAGGCTTCTAAGAATACTTAATATCAATTTACATGAAGTCTACTAAAACATTGATACTTATATTCTCATCAAAACTGTTACAGTATATGTATCAAAAGGAGCCTCAGAACTATTAAGCAACAAGGTCTGTGTAACATAGCCCCTCTAAATCAAGACATGACTCCAAGTAGTAAAGCATCAGTTTCTGCACTCTGTGGATAAGGAGATGCACTGCCAATCTAAAGGCAGGTAAGTAGTTCCAAACTACCAGCTGCTCCCAAGGAGAAAGATGAGCAATCTCCTTCCAAGTAATGTAATGCATCCAAAAACTAGCTGAAGGGTCAACTACAAATCTGATGGCATTAATGCAAAGCAAACTACAGGGCTATACCAAAAGCCACTCATCTCCAGCAATTCAAATCCACCAGGAGAGCCAATGGAGAAAGAGAGAGGCCTCAGAAACCTGATGAAGGGTCACTATAAGTCAAAATGGACTCGATGGCAGTGAGTTTGAGTTTTTTTTTAATTTGGTAACTGCCTTCTTGTTTGAACTGAAGCTACGTTAATCTACAACTTAAAAGTCACATTTAACATAAAAGATTATTGGACTAATACGAGAATTAACGGGTAAGGAATTGTGTCGTCAACCTAATGGTATACAAATCCAAGAGTCACTTTTGGGAGAAAGATGGACAATCTAATCTGTGCTATTTACTGCTTCTGAAACCTCCCCGGAGGGGCAATCAACTGCAACTTGATGCTATACAATAACCACATTTAAAAAAAAAGAAAAAGAAAAAAGCTCTGGTGGCCTAAGTAGGTATAGAGCTGTGCTGCCAACCTAAATACAGGCAGTTCAAATTTACCAACTGCTCTGAGGGAGAAAGATGAGTAATATTCTCCAATGTGAGTACTACAGCCACTGAAAATCTACTGAAGGGCCTGCTATCAGTCAGTTCCAACTTAAAAGCAATGTGTGAGTACATGAAAAAAAGTTCATCCTACTTGTCTTGGTCGGCTCCCAGCAGAAATATTAGGTTTCTTCTTTTCTAAGCATTATTCTTTAGGAACAATATAGGGAAAACTACAGGGAGTCAGAGTGGCTTCAATTCAATTCAATTCAACTCAATTCTCCTTGAGTCGGAGTACCATTCATCAAGTATCTTCCCATTCTGCACGTATGGTAGGAATGCAATTCCAGCACCTTTTTTGGTTGAGTTACAGCCAAGGGCTTAATCTTGCCAATCAGTTATGAGCAGAAGTAGAGTTTGCAGTTTCTGGGCCAGAGACCTATATTTAGCCAAAGATTTCTTGACCTTTGCCCTATCTGTGATAGTGGTTTCTCTGTTGGCCAGGACTCCAGAGTGAAAAGACTCCCTTTCTGAATCTTAATGTAGATAAAAACTACCCACTTCCATAAAGTCAGTTTCAGCTCCTAATGACTATCAGCTTTGCGAGATATAAATCTTTTTTTTTCTTCAGCAACTTTTTTTTTTTTAAATTATTTTGTGTGCGTGTACCGTCAAATCAGATCTGACTGGTACAGGAGGATATTGCGCCTCCTTCTCCGGCAGAGCATCTGGTGGATTCGAACCGTGTTCCTCTGGGATTGCAGTGCAGTTTCTTGCCACTAGGCCACCAGAGCTCCCCTAAGATATAAATCTTTATGGCAGGAGACTGATCATCTTTCTCCCTCGGAGCAGCTGGCAGATTCAAGCTCCTTATCTATTTGTTAGCAGTACAATGTTATATACTAAACTATTCAAGTTGCTTAAATAACCAGTAAGTATTTAAGAGAAATAAAACTGGACTGATTTTTAAAGATTCGAAGATTCAGAAGTTGTTTATAAAGAGAGCAAAAATGAGATCAAGCTGACTAATGCAGGCTGTCATATTAATTGATACTGAGATGAAGCACTAGAACTTAATTCTTAGGAACAGAAAAAAAATACTTCCAATCGGTGTAAGAAAGAATGTCTTACAATTTCCATTTAAATGAATATTTCAGCAGGAGTGAATTTCTAGTCATTAAAGATATTTCAAGCAGATGCTAAACGATCTGGTTACACACAAATATGCTGGCTACAAAAGGAATGAAATAGCCAAGAAGCAGAGGAAGTAGTGAAATTATTTCCACTCTCTCTAAACACTAGACGTTATGATTGCATTTACAGATGGAAATGGGTAAGGGGAAGGATATAAGGAAAGGAGTTAGCAACGTCTGATCTAGTTTTCCTGATAATGTGCCAAAGCAGAGTCTCTCCAAAAAAAAAAAAAAAAGTGAATCAAGTTTCATCTTTATTTTCAATTGAATATTTTCAATTTTTTTGTTGTATATGACTTTATTTCATGTTAATAACATGTTCCTTAAAGGGTTTAAGTTGAATACTCCTTGGATGTGATTTATCTAAATTATATTATAAACAAACAAGTCAATAAAAGCTAAATGAGGCTACAGCAAATATTTTAATTTTATTTTTATTATTGTGTGTGTGTGTGTGTGTGTGTGTGTGTGTGTGTACCGTCAAATCAGATCTGACTGGTACAGGAGGAGATTGTTCCTCCTTCTCCAGCAGAGCATCTGGTGGATTTGAACCGTGCACCTCTGGGATTACAGTACACCTCCTTGCCACTAGGCCACCAGAGCTCACCTACAGCAAATATTTTTAAGCTACTCTATAGTGCTGAGCTTGCCTAAAATAACAAAGCTGTCCATGCTGGTTTCTAAAGTGAATACTGGTGTGGGGTGAGCCTAAAACACCAATAATCTTATGTCACAAAACTACTATCAAAAGATATAACAGAATAATATGTTCTCATCAATATAGTTTTTACTGTATTTGTTAGACATTACACACTTTTGAGAAAATGAATGCATAAAACAAATTATGTATGAATTGTCAAACTAATTCACTCTGTAAATTTTCACATAGGATATCCTCAATTCCTGAGGATAACCAATACCAGAACAGGACGACTTAAAGTGAACTTACTTTAAAAAAAGACAAATACTTGACTATAAATAGCAAAGAATGCCAAAAGTAAAGCTGGCATTTTTTGTTTCCATTAAATAAAAATTCATCAAATCAGACTGAATGACAAGTTAACTATTACGCTTGATGGAAATGGATTCTTCAAAAAACTGTACAACAGTATAATGTCAATCTCTGTATGAAGCATAACATCATTAGATCATTTCAGCAAAATTTGAGGGTTTCATCAATTTTTTTAAGAATTCTGTATCATCTTTTTTTTTTGTATCATCTTTTGAAATTCAAGTTACTTTCACTTTGAGGGCCCTACTTGGTTATTATCCAAATAACATTTCTTCTGATTATCTAATTTAACCCCAGGTTCCCATTTACCCTAAGCCCCACAGACTGATTTAACCAAGTATGCAAAATATACAATGTCACCTGAATTCAACTTGCAATGCTTTCATACTCTGCTGTGAAATATTTGCCAAGAATGAACAGAAATATATTTCAAAATGCTACAGTGCTGAAGAGCAATGATGTCAGTCTAGACACAAAGATGCGCCTAATCCAGGCCACGGTCTTCTCAATTACTTGTTATGCTTTTGCGAGTTGGACAATGACTAAGGATGACAAAAGAAGAATACATGCCTTCAAGTTGTGGTTCTGGAGTAGAGTCTTGATGATACCATGGACTGCCCAGAAAACAAATCAGTCTGTCTTGGAGAGGGTGAAACCAAGTCTCTCCTTGGAGGCTAGGATTTTGAAGTTCTGCCTCACTTACTTTGGGCACATGGTCAAGAAAGATCAGTCCTTGGAGTAAGGCATTATGTTCAGAGGGTGGACATACAGTACAGGAGAGGAAGACCCTGGATAAGGTGGAGCGGCAATGGAGGTTGGGATGTTGGAATTAGTAAAACTGGCTCAGGACAGGGAAGGGTTTAGAGCTGCTGTACATAGGGTCACCGTATATCACAGGTGACTAAATGGCACATAACATACTATGACAAGTTTAGGAGCAGAAGTGGCATCCACTTCCTAAGTAACATGCCTCCGGAAACTCTATGAACTTTGATAAATGTCGATAGTTGTAGAGGGGCTTCAGGTGTTTTATTCATAGGGTCTCTATGAGTCAAGCTCGACGCGAAGGTAATCAGCAACAACAACAGTTGTGACAAGCTAGGGTTGGGAGCTGGTATATTTAGGTAAGTGCTAATTCTATACCAGATTGTTAATTAGTATTGTTCCGTGCTCTCAAATCAGAACCAATTCACAGTTGACGCCCCTAGTGGGTTTTCAGAGGTAGTAAATCATATGGAAGGAGACTGCCCATCCTTCTACCATGTAAGAGCTGCTGGATTTGAACAGTATTCCTTTGGGATTGCAGCACAGTTTCTTACCACTAAGCCACTGGAGCTTCCTTAGTTAGTATTAGATTATTTGTATTAATATATTTGCATTATGAAGTTTGCTCCTCTGCAGCAGCCTTGGGAACTCTAATAATTTGGACCTCAGTATCTCATTTGACCTCTCAGAGAAAATCAAGAGTTATAATCAAAGCACAAGTCTCCCACTATCTCCTTCCTTATCTCTATAGAGTCTCTATGACATACTACATATTCATTCAATAATATATTCATTGAACTACCTGACTAAATATTTGAGACAAAGAGAAACAAGTAAGATAGAAGATTAAGAAAAAAATCCCAAGTGGAATAGATGAGACAGAGAAGAAAAACATATATTACTACACAGCGTGACTAACCGACAAGTGAAAAGTTAGTATGAAATTTAACAGAAGGTTTATTACCAGTGTGTGCTTGGTAGAGATCATGAAATTTTATGGGTATACGTCAGAAATGATCAGAAGAAGAATAACTAATTAAACCCAAGAAACAAAACTTTCACAGTAGGTAGAAGCAAATTAAAGACAAAAGTATGAATTAGCTATAGGGAAGAGCAAATAAAGGCACCCAGGTAAAAGGAACAGTGCTAAGATCCTAAGGACTCATTGAACACTATCCATTTAATGACACTTAAAATAACTTAGAAGATGAAAATGAAGATACGCATTAGATCATAGATTCCTTTAAAGCTAAGAAAGCACTGGCACTTGACCTTGACCCTAACAAATGGACATGGTCAAAACTCTAAGCAAAGCTCAAAGCAAAGGTATGGAGAAGATGAGAATTCTATTTTAGAAAAAAAGATTTATATATAAATATATTTATCATGACTGAAATATATAACAACATTCATCTTTATTGAGAAGTTCAAAAGTCATGAAAAACAATCTAGTGTATTTCTAACAAGCATTAGTTGCAATATAATGATAGACTCTCCTTGTCATAAAGCAATTCAACAAGTACAACTCCTTCACTGGGTTAAACTTTTGTTTATATGAATTTAAATAGTTAAAAGTAGAATGTATCCCTCCAACCAAATTTAATCCCAACAATTCTAATGAAATCTTACAGAAGCTTAGTTCTATTTGTTTTAATTGGGCTGGCAAGATTGTCTACATTTAAAAGGTGAAGCTACACATAAATGGCTCAAAGACCTAGCAACATTAGCTATGATAGTTGAATATGAGAGGTAAGACATATTCTTGACATTATTCATTTAGTTAATTGTACAAACCCCACTATTGTTTGGCATATAATTTTCCCTCATAACTAAAAAATTTAAAGGACTCTCTCAAACCCAAGGGTCGTAAAGAATACTGTATTAAAACTTTCCTCCCACTTAACTTCCTTGTGTCACTTGCCCAAGGCCTCCCAGAACACTGCTGATCTCTCTTTTCTCTCAATACATTCTATCCTTGCTCACTTCTGGCCGATTACAGCCTATTTCTTGAACCAGCACCAAATCTAAACTCTTTCAAATTTTTCCTCTATGATCCTTTCTGCCTCTCATATGAAAGAAAGACACAAGCTCCCTAGATCATTCTTTACCAAGGACACACCCACAAGAAAAGGCAACAACACTTGCTCATGCAACATTGCCCTCAAACTACAATGTTTATTCCTTTTCTCAATAGCTAAAATGAGAAGGAAAATGACAAATCACTGCACTGCCTTCAGAGCTGCTGACTGCTACGTTATATAACGTGTTTTGGAGAAAGTGCAACCAGTGTGCTCCTTAGAGGCAAGGATGGTGAAACCTAGTCTCACGTACTTTAGGCATATTGTTAGGAGGAATCAGTCCTTAGAAAAAGGCCTTATGTTTACAAAAGTGGAGAGCCAGCTAGTCATTGTCAACGTAATGGCACCCAGCAACAACAACAAAAACAACTTACTCTCTGTAAATTTATCCAAAAAAACCAGTTAAAATGGTTTTTATATGTATCCTAGGGATATAAAACACTCTCACCAAAATATTTATTTTAACAATGAGTAATTAGCATTTGCAAGTCTCTAATCAAAAGGCCTTGCTTCTCTGTTGGGAGAAAGGTGCGTAATCTCTACCTGTGCAATTTAGTTTTGGAAAACCTACTAAAGGGTGGTGGTTGTTGGTATTAAGTGCCATCGAGTTGTAGAAACTTCATAGACCCTATGAATGAAAGACCTGAACACTTGTATAACTTTCATCCTTTCATCACATTCATAAGAGTTTCCAGAAGGAAGCTATTTTGGAAGTGGATGCAACTCCTGCTTCCAACCTTGTTTTAATCAGGAAGCTCCACTAAACACTGTCCACCATCGGTAACCATTCTCGCATTTGACATCAGGGTCACAGTGTTCAGCATCATAGCAACCACGAGTTACCTCTGTACAGAAAATGGACAGACCAGGGCTATATGACCTAGAAGAATGTTTGACCAGAAACAAATAAAACCAGGCCTGAGGGCTGTAGATTAAAATCACCCACCTTTAGCTTGGTAGCATCACTTTCTGTCCATTAGGCCAACTGAGCTCTATGTTGTTGTTGTTGCTAAGTGCCGTGGAGTCGTAGGCGACTCATAGCGACCCTTGTAACTTTCTGCATTTCTCCAAGTTCATAGGGTTTCCGGAGGCAAGCTATTTTAGAACTTATTAAGTGAAATTAACTAAGCTCCTAAGAGGGAACTTATAATTACAGTATCCTAATTTACTCTAAAGCTACTACACTACTATATTTCAGTTTAACATTTTTATAAATTTTGAATGGAGTCCAATAGGAAACACATCTCTTCTTCCATCACTGTTCCTCTATTTTCAAACAGTATCTAAAGTATAGTTAACATTTAAAAATAACTGAACTATTAACATCAGTAGAGTCCAGACAGCTGAGGCTGAGAGAGGCTAAATATCCTGTCAAAGCCACAAAAGGACCTCTTGCCCCTTCACCAACTCTACAGTTACTCCACCTACAATTATAATTAGAATTAAAATATAAAGATAACATACAATTAAAAGAAAAAGAGAGATAAAATAATATTGAACCTAGGTTAATAGTGCCTCTAGGTAAGCCATAGACTTTGGAATTCAACACACACACACACGAAAGATAAAATTTCATAATTTTTTTTTCTACTTAACTTTTAGACTTTTCCCAGAACAGCCTAAAGATCAAGAATACAGAAACTCTATTCAGAACTATAAGATTCATTATCTACTTATCCATTTATTAACTTCCTCCAATGAGCCAAGTATTATTATGCTGTTGTTACGTGCCATCAAGTCACTTGCACCTCATAGCCTCAAAGGGTTAGCTGTAAGTCAAATCTGACTCAAAAGCAATGAGTTTGCATTTTTTAATCAAAAGTCTACTCTTCAAAATGAGAACTGAGGCACAATGGAGACTTGTACACCAATGTTTATAACAACGTTATTTACCATCACAAGAATATGTAAACAGCCCAGATGTCCAACCACAATTGAATGGATTGAGTTATGGTACATTCGTATGACAGAATACTACGCAGCACGCTGGAGCAACGATTCTGTAAATTACTACTTTACCTGGGAGGGACTGAAGAGCATTATGCTAACTGAACTATCTTGGCCCCATAAGGACAAATACTGTGTAACACCATTATTGTAGAACAAGTATGAGGATCCAAGGGGGAAAGGGTGGGAGCAGAGTCACACAATTTGATGGAGTATGTGTGAAAAAAATGGGAAAGATCTGGAGTGGAAAACAATGTAACAAACCAATATAAAAAAAAAAAAAATTAAGTCTATTCTCCAGAATTGCTTCCATAAGTCTTAAAGCACAATGGAAATTGGAATGATCTTACAATTTGTAAAAAGAGTAAAGTTACTACAGTTCTGAACTAAAGACCAGTCACCATGGCTGTGTGATATTTATTTCTCTAGAAGAAGTAGGCTGTTTCCATACATAATTTATCAGGCAAGGATGATAAAGAATTTTTTACCTGAGAGGCGAGAAAAGACAAAGAGCTGGATTACATTTCTATAGCAAAAAAATCAACAGTATTTACAAGGAAGTTGAACAAGGAAGAATTTGAAAGCAAGAAGAGTGATTACCAATGAGAAAGCAGAAGTGTCAATAGATCAGAGACTTCAAAGTTAAAGAATTGCTAGACTGAGAGTACAAGAGCACAGGTGAAGGATTAAAAAATAATGGTATGTTTTAAGTGCAAATTTCTGAGATGTTGTAATTATTGATGATGACAAATTTTAAAAGTATATCATGAAAAAGCACTGGGCAACCCTAAGGTGTTTTCTGGTAAAAGTAATATAGCTAAAATGTGTTATCACTTAAATAATTACCATTATTAGGACATTTTTCTATTTATAGAGAACTGCACATAGTAAACATTAAAATAGTGAAACCAAAAGTTAAAACAGAAACCATGAAAAGTACTAGCACATATACTCTAGAGAAACAAACTTCTTGGGTTCAAATTCCAACTCCACTATAAACTAGCTCAGTATCTAAGTCTCCATACTGGTCAACAGGTTGTTATCAGTACCTACCTCAGTGCTAGAGGATTACGAGTTGATAAGATTGGCACAGGATAGAACAGGGTTTAGGGTTTAGGGCTGTTGTACATAGGGCACAGGTGGATCAATGGCACATAACAACAACAACTTTTGTAAAGAGCTTAGGACAGTGCTTGGTACATAGTAAACACCTTATAAATGTTAACCTATTACCTTAGAGCTTAATATTTTGATACTTTCATTGTAAATTCAACCAAAAACTATGAAGACTAAAGTAAAAGACTGATTTTGAGACAAACTGCTTCATTTGAAACATATATTTAGTAACTGTAATACTTCTTATTAACTAGTTTGGCTTACAATATTAAGCTATACTTGTTGCACTAAAACACTGAGAGTAATATATTTGAAAGGTAAATAACAATTTTAAAAAAACATAAAGAAATATAACCTGCAATAACTGGTGGTGATACTTGAGTTGTCTGTCCTGTAACAGCTTTACTATTAATTGGTTTTGCAAAGATCAACTTCGTTATTACTGGACCAGAAGTTGGTGTTCGAGGCTTCTTAGCAATCTGAAACATATAAGTAACTATGAAATGCTTATTCAATCAAAGGTAAACAAAAGATCCATAAACAAAAGTACATTAAATCAGCTTATCTGACAAAGCTTATGTAAAGGTTAACATTTAAAATGCAAATATTCATCAAAGCATTATTAATACGATCACATTCATGAGCCCATTTATGTATGTTCTTATTTTATTCTAAATTCTTGTTTTTAGTTTCTGAGATATAGTCATATGATGAAAACAAAGCATAATAAGTAGCAAAACATCATAGCAATATTCCTTTTTTTATTAGCAATACTCGTTTTCTTTAATAAAAGGATAGACAGAGTAATTATTTAATTAGAGCACAAATAATGAAGCTGCTTGTAAATATAATCATATTGGGTTCTGGGACGTAAATATAAAAACATATGGAAAAGAAATTCATTATTAGGTTTGCAACTTCAGAGATACAAATCAGGTGTAAACAAAGGAAGCACTGAGCAAGTTAAGGTCACTGGACACAAAGAAACAAGTTTGGTTAGAACAAAGACTATCCTAAAGGTAAGAACTTTTAAAAATTATTTACTGAACTATTGCTTACTATAGTCCGTAAAAGAAGGGTGTATGTGTCTATATTTTATTCATCTAAGATTGAAAAGTACACTATTGACCTGAACTTAAATTCTCTACAAATCACAAAAGTTAGAATATTTTCAGATTGAAATTATCAAAGGATTAAATGAAAAAGCTTCTTCTAAAAACTAGAAGCAGAAATTGAGCTACGACTTTCAAAGTAGGAAGGGCATTAAATTATCTTTTATCAGACATGAAACAATATTATTTTCTACTGGCTATAATAACTCAAAGGAAAAAACATTATCAACTTAAATGACAGAACTAAACCAAAAGCTACAATAAAACACAAAATTAACTTAAAGATTGTTTTTTTTCTGCTTACATTATAAACTGGAGGAACGTATTTTTGAACACTCAGAATACTAGTTTCTTAAATCCAGAACACATTACTGATGAAATAAAAATGTAAATGAAGTACAAATTCCTTTTTTAAAAAACAATTTTTACTATACTGAAATAAATCCAACTTATAAAACTATTACACACCAAAATAAAAACAATTATATTTTTAAAAGTTGATGCAATTTAGAGAGGCATATAAAGAAAATATTTTCCCAAGAGCATTTGTAGATCTAAAACTCTAAATTAGAATTTCACTTATTGGTATTAACAACTTCAAGGTGCAGAAGTAGTGTACATTTAAGCAAATAACTAAATTCCTTAGACAACAGGCTCCTATCCACACATTTTTATATGCAGGTGTGAATTACTTACATGAGAAGAACATATCTGAGAAGCTATAGTAATAATTTTCTTAAAAATCAAGAGGTTAAACTATTTCTTCATGTTTAACTACTTTCATAATTACAATTACTTAAAGGAACACTTACCAAGCAGGATAAAAATTAAAACGCACAGCCAAAAACCACATTAATTACTCAAATGTATAACCACATCTAGCTTTGGTGGTTATGGTGCTTTAGAAGAGCATTACCGACAATAACAATTTGCAGTTCCATTACAAAACCATGAATTTTTTTTTATTATGAATGCTAAACTATCCTAAAACAAAAAATAGTAGGTAAAATAAAGCACAAAAGGTAAAATTTTTACACTTTCATGTAATCAGTAAATTAAGGCAAAAATAAATCAATACTAGATTTACAAATGAGGAGACAAATATGTCATCAAATAATACAATCAGGGCATTTTCGACACAGTGTTAAGCAGATTCAAAAGCAAGTAAGAAGCTATGTTGCTCCATATTTGTAGTCATTTATTCTTTTTATATACTCCACACATGAAATACAGAAAAGCATTTATACATTTGTAATGAAGCTCAACTACACCTCTGTTACTGCCTCTAACCTCAACTTTCATATCTTTGCTTTATTTTGCAAATGAGTCTCCTTCTTCCACCCTATCTACTACCCATACCTTAAACAGTTGTTACACTTTCACTAAGTTTAAGGCAATCCTGAGAACTGCTCATACCACATTATACTAAATCAAATAGTCAGTGACTAAAAAATAAAATCATGAAGCTTTTCACTCTCCTCATCCCAAGTATATGAATTTGCAGGTTTATCTGAGCTAGAAAGATCAAAGTTGCCCAAAAATTAACTGGACAAGAATACTACTTAAAATGGTTTCTTCTCTTTTTGCTATTTTGTAGAAGTTTTTAAAATCTATAAATCAAATCAGGTTCTATAAAAGTAAAAACAAAGGCCAAGCGTAAAATGTAAAGCCCTGTCTTTGTTTTTATTAGTAATAAACAGGGGGTTATAGGGGGAAAGTAGTGGACTCAAGCACACTGGTCATTTGAACAGTATGTACACAGAGATTAGGTAAGTGAAAAAGGTGACAAGCTGGTTGGCGTATGGTTTCAGTTTCTTGTGAACATGGCTATGACCCACACTGCCAAAGCTAGAATAAATAAATAGTGGCAAACTAATAAAACCATGTTCCAAAACGGACAAAAAGCAAGATGAAGCCAAAATGCCTTATAGTGGAGGGGTACCGTACAACAATAGAAATAAAAAGAAACTGGAAGTAGGAGATGGTAACAAACCAGAAAGGAAAGGGCATCAAAGAATGTTTAAAAGCAGCAAAAGGGACATGGCAAGGCTTGGGAAATCTTACAAAGTTCTTAAATCAAAGCCTATGAATAAGGGAGCTGTGGTGGCTTAGTGGCAAGAAGCTGCATTGCAATCTCAAAGGCACATGGTTTGAATCCACCAGACATTCTGCTGGAGAAAGAGGGGCAATCTCCTCCTGTGCCAGCCAGATCTGACTTGATGGTACACACAAAAAAACCCAAAAACAACAACAACAAAAAGTGTATGAAGAGTATTTCTAATTATCTGGCCATTTTATTAACAAAACGTTCTTTCTAGCATCAGCTGAAAGTGGATAGTTCCCCAAACTTTTTTACTTCCTTATATATACCTACTTTATTGCTTTAATTCACGCATTTCCCTTTCTTCAATGAAGCAGCTCTTTTACACAACAAATGCTTCTGTGTTCTCTGGTCTCAAGCAGATAATTCTATTTTTAAGAGTAGTTGTAACCTGAAAGGCCTTCCTGAACATCCAAACTGAACCATTTAGTAAATGCTCTTATAACCTTCTATCTTTAGGACTTGTTCATACTAATAATACATAGCGCTATGAAGAATTCTGAGAATTTTGAGAACACTATTGAGTACTTATCTTTTACTATATAGTTCATCCTGATCTAACAGTCAATGTATAAGTGAAGTCATAACCTCAGACATAAGTAAACCAAATCCAAAATTCCAAAGCCGGTTTGGTAACAGAGAGGTGACTCAAAGCCAGGTGGTTCAATTCTAAAGCCTGTACGTTTCTTTCTTTCACATGGTACTACCTTTTGCATATTGCAAACATGAAAGATGGCAACAGACAATAAACTCTAAAGGTGTGGCTGACACCAGCTAACACGAATTACGGCTGGCTCTGAGGGTTTCTCAGAGCAGAGATTTTCTAACTGGGCCATCTGTTTCAATCAAGACTGGAGAAAAATAAAATGATTTTTTTTTTTTACAATCCAGTAGCAACTCTAGCATCTTTATCCCAGCAAAACATTAGTGTAATCAGACACTAAAAATAAAATGGATTTTTTAAAAGAGTAAAAGCTATACAGAAAATAATTTGAAAATTAACCAAATATTGTTTCCTCTAAGTTCTCTAGTTAAAGTTTACATTAGCAACAAATACACCAAACTTTAAAAATCCATACATATATTAAAAGCAACAGTCAAAAAAACTCATTACATTTAATCACTCCACAAATAGCTATCTATAAATGAGTTTCATTTTTACCACGCATTTGTAATTAACAAGTCTCCTTTTTTTTTTTACCTGTACAGTTTTTAACTGCTGGGTCTGTACCACAGAGGGCTGAGTTGTAGTATTAATCAGTTGACTTCCTGGCGTCAATGCTGAGACACCAATGACAGGTTTCACCTCTGGCCTCCCTCCAATGGTAACTACTTTAATTTGTTGTGGTGGTAGCTTGGCATCTCCTGACTGGGCCTGCGTTGTAACTTTCTGAGCCTGGGGTAGTTGGCTATGGGGTAGTGCTAAAACAATTGGTGAACCAGACTTGCCCAAAGTTGTTAAAATTAACTTCTGTCCATCTGGTTTTAGGGTCTGATTGCCAAGTTTAAGATCAGATGTCTGTGATACTTTGTTTAAAATAATCTGATTGGTTGATATAGTCACAGGAGTCTGAGCACCAAGTTTTTGAAGGCCACTTGGAAAAGCTGGTTTCGTTGTGGTATTAGAATCTGCTTTAGTAACTGTGGTATTCACTGCAACTTGGTTAGTGTGGTTACTGTACACTGTGATCGGTTCCGTGGAAATGGGAGTGGCCGTAGAGTCACCAGTAGAGTTTATGTTGACAATTTCTTCCAGTTCTGTCTCCATGGGAATTGGGGATGAAACAATAACAGCCTCAATACTATCATCATCCACTAATGTTATACCAGTGTCCATTATTTCCTCTGGAAGCAAACTATTCATCTCAGCTGGCACCACCTCCATGATCGTTCTGCTTGACAGTTGATTAGGTGCTGCAATAAAAGTTGAAAAATTAGTAGGTAATGGATTTCTATTTAAATCTAAAAGAAAAAGAATTACTTAAAAAAATCTAAGTAACAAAAATAACTATTTTCATTGGTATATTTTTTTATATCCTCAACATTCAAGTATCTAAAACAAAATCATAATGGACCCAAAACTAGAAGCTAATGTTCTCATTTGTTCATGTCTCTACTAGAAAGTATACTGCATTCAGGTAACAGTAAGTCACGTACCACAAGAAACACTTTTCTAAAGCCCTCCCAAAAAGCTGTTAAACCGTTAATGTGTCTAATCATCACACTTCTTCCAAGTTATGTCATAAAGACATACACATGTCATAGTTGTAAAAGTTTTAAACATTAACAAATAATGGGAAATATTTTCAACCCTTCCGTGAGCTAGATTCTAAGAAAAGGGAATAATGTGGCATCAGTATCAGAGGAAGACTCAGCAACCTGGGTAATGAAGATACCACCACCTTACTTGCTGAGAGTTAATAAAATTTGAAAGGCTCACAGATGAGGATCAAAGATTACAGCTTTTAATATGGGTTGCATGTTAACATCAAGAAGACAAAAATCCTCACCACCAGGATTTTTGCTTACCACAATAAGCAACATCATGATGTTGTTTTTGTTAAGTGCCATCGAGCTGTAGATGACTCATAGCGACCCTATGAACGGAAGACCTGAACACTTGTATAACTTTCATCATTTCTCCACATTCATAGAGTTTCCAGAGGCAAGCTATTTCGATGTCACTCCTGCTTCCAAGCTTGTTTTAATCAGGGAGCTCCACCAAACACTGTCCACCATGGGTAACCATTATCACATTTGATGCATCAGCATCACAGTGTTTAGCATCACAGCAAATGGACAGACCAGTGCTATACCAATTGGAAGAATGCTTGACCACAAACAATTACAACTAGGCCTTAGCAGGCTTGAGGGCCACAGATTAAAATCACCCTCCTTTGGCTTGGTAGCCTAACTTTTCTATCCACTAGGCCAACAGAGCTCTATGTTGTTGTTGTGGTTATGTGCTGTCGAGTCGTAGACGACTCATAAAAGTAAAAAAGATAAAAACTGTCAAAGATTACTTTATCTTTTTGGATCCACATTCAATACCCTTGGCACCAGGAGCCGGGGAAATCAAAAGATGTATTGCACTGAGAAAAGTCTGCTGTCAGGGACTTTTCCAAAGTGCTGAAGAACAAACGTCAGTCTAAAGACTACAGTGCACCTGATCCAAACTATGTTCTTTTCAACTATTTGATACACATATGAAAGATAGACAATAAATAAGGATAGCAGAAGAATCTTTTGAATTACGGTGTTGGAAATGAGTGCTAAATATTCCATGGACTTCCAAAAGCATAAATATGTCTTGGAAAAGGTGCAATATGAGTGTTCTTTGCAGGCAAGGATACTGAGACTTCATCTGACATACTTTGGACATGTTGTTTGGAGGGGCCTGTCCTTGGAAAAGGATATCATACTTGGGAAGGTGGAAGGTCAGCAAAGAAGGGGAAGATCCTTAATCATAGAGTCACATAGTGCCTGCAATGATGGGCTTGAGTGTGTCAGAGATTATGAGGATAGTACCAGATAGGGCAGGGTTTAGATCCATTGTTCATAGGGTGAATATGAACCATAGTTAACTCATTGGCACTTAACAACATAGTATCTAAAGGGAATTCTGGTGGCTCAGTGGTAGAGAGTTGTGCTACCAAGACAAAGGAAGGTGGTTCAAACTCACCAGCTGCTCCACAGGAGAAAGATGGGCAATCTCTTCCTATAAAATTTACTGCCACTGAAAACTCACTAAAGCGTAAGCTATGAATTGGTTCTGACTGGTTGCTGATGTTGTTGTTATGTATCGTCGAATCGCTGTGACTCATGTTGTTGTTGTTGTTATATGTCGAGTCGTTTGCGACTCACAGCGACCCTATGTACAAGCCCTAAACCCTGCTCTATCCTGTGCCAATCGCACTGCCTCCGACACACCCATCCCAATTACCCCAGTCACTAAATCATTCCATCTGATAAAGGGTCTTCCCCTCTTGCGCCGTCCCTCCACCCTCCCAAGCATGATGTCCCTCTCTAAGGACCTGTCCCTCCTTGCAACATGCCCAAAGTATGTCAGACAAAGCCCCAGAATCCTTGCCTCCACGGAGTTGCTTGGTTTAATCCTCTCCAGGATGAATCGGTTTGTTTTCTTGGCAGTCCATGGTACATTCAATACTCTTCTCCAGCACCACAGCTCAAAGGCATCAAATCTCCTTCTGTCTTCCCTAGTCATTGTCCAACTCTCTGATGCATAACAAGTGATTGCAAAGACCATGGCGTGTATCTGGCGGACCTTAATCTCCAGAGAGACACCGTTGCTCTTGAGTACTTTAAAGAGGGCCCTAATGGCAGACTTTCCCATCGCAATACGTTTTTTTGATTTCCTGGCTGCTGGTGCCAAGAGTGTTGGCCGTGAAGCCAAGCAAACTGAAGCTGTGAACAATCTCAATCTCTTCACCATCCATCCTGATGCTGCTAATTGGTCCAGTGGTGAGAATCTTTGTCTTCTTGACATTGAGCCTCAGTCCATACTGAAGGCTGAAGTCCTTGACCCTCTGCAGCAAGTGTGAGGTCCTCGTCAGTTTCAGCAAGCAGGGTTGTGCCATCTGCATAATGCAGATTGTTAATAGATCTTCCACCAATCCTGATGCCACAATTCTCCTCATAGACTCCAACCTCTCGGATAATCTGTTCCACATACGGGTTGAAAAGGTATGGAGACAGGATGCATCCCTGGCATACACCCTTCCCAATTTTGAACCATGTAGTGTTACCCTGCTCTGTTCTGACAAATGCCTCTTGGTCCAAGTATAGGTTTCCCATTGGCATGATCAAGTGTTCTGAGATTCCCATTCTTCTCAGAGTCAGCCACAGTTTGTTATGATACAGTCAAACGCCTTTGCGTAATCAATGAAACACAGATAGACATTCCTCTGGTATTCCCTGCTTTTAGCTAAGATCCATCTAACGTCAGCTGCAGTATCCCTAGTAGCACGACCCCCTTCTAAACCCAGCCTGGACTTCTGGCAATTCTCTGCTGATGTGCTGTTCCAATCGTCTTTGGATAATCTTCAGTAGAATCCTGCTTGCATGTGAAATCAATGATATTACTCTATTGTTTCCACACTGTTGGGTCACCCTTCTCTGGGATAGATCTCTTCCAGTCAGTTGGCCAAGTGGTTGTTCTCCAGATTTCTTGGCAAACTTGGTGAGCACATCCAGGGCAGCATCTATTAGCTGAAATACTTCAATTGGTATACTGTCTATTCCTGGGGCCTTATTTTTTGCTATTTCCTTCAAAGCAGCTTCAACTTCTTCCTTCATCACCATAGGTTCTTGCTCATACGTGATTTCATTAAATTCTTCCGTATCTGCCAATTCCTTTTGATACAATGACTCAGTATATTCCTTCCATCTTCTTTTAATACTTCCTAGATCATTTAATATTCTGCCTAAAGTATCCCTGATTATAGCAACTCTAGGTTTGAACTTGTTCTTCAGTTCCTTGAGCTTAAGAAATGCTGAGTTGTGACTCATAGCGACCCTATATACAACAGTCCTAAACCCTGCTCTATCCTATGTCAATCGCACTGCCTCCGACACACCCACCCCAATTACCCCAGTCACTGAATCAATCCACCTCATAGAGGGCCTTCCCCTCCTTTGCTGTCCCTCCACCCTCCCAAACATGATGTCCCTCTCCAAGGACCAGTCTCTCCTTACAACATGTCCAAAGTATGTCAGACGAAGCCCCAGAATCCTTGCCTCCAAGGAGCAGCCCGGTTTAACCCTCTCAAAGATGAATCTGTTTTCTTAGCAGTGCCTTTCCCTTCTGTGCTGCCACTCCACCCTACCAAGCATGATGTCCCTCTCCAAGGGCCTGTCCCTCCTTGCAAAAGAATTCATATATATCTGAACTGCATTGCTAGCCAAATACCCAAATTAAGTGAGCTTCTGGAATAAGTGATTTCAGGGACTATAAGTACTTATATGGTCAGAGTTTGATCATCATTATTTTCACATCAGAAGAATTTTTCCTTGCAAAGATTCCTAAATCCTCCTCAGTCTTTTAAAATATCAAATAGAGAATCATTTAAAAGATGTAAAGGCAGTCCACACAAAGGGAAAAAATGTTAACAATAATATAACAGATTAGGGGCAAATTAGATTAGATTAGCCAAAGCTAATGTAAAATTTTCAGTAAAAACAAATCAATACAACAATCTTATTAAAGATAGCATACTATGCTGATGACTGACTAAATAGCAGGAAGTTATTTACCCAGAGATCATTAAAGATGCATAATAATACAATGAGTAGCATTTGATTTTCTTCCCCAAAATGCAATACCTACCCCAAGATTAAAAGAAATGGAGATGAGTAGCAAACTGTAATTATCACCCTTATACATATATTAAAACTGCCAAGAATCAATCATCATCATTGTCAAAAGTCATTCATGGTATTATTGTATTTACTTCTCGAAATAACCTTATTAGATAGTTACCATTATTATGTCCATTTTACAGATAAACATTTAAAGATTAAGTAATATGTTCAAGGCCACATAATTAGTAAATTATAGAAGACTTGGGACTCAAATTTAAGTTTTATTAAAGTTCTTATTTTAATCACAAAATGACACCACTTTTTAAAAAATTTTCTACTAGTTTGCAATATTTGAATATAGTTTTCAAGAACAAATTCTTTCCATTTCCCTCATTCCCCTCACCCAAAACATTGTACAACCCCATGTTTAATTCCCCGCCCCCCCCCCAACCCATACAACCTCATCCCTCTGCTTCCAACCTCTCCCACCCCTCTTGGATCCTTAAACTCATTCTACTATAATAGATTTATACAATATTTATCCTTGTGTGACTGAGTTCACTC